CTCTCATCGTTGTATAGTCAGGGTTGAAAGGCACCAAAGATTCCAATAGAGAAAGTACTCCATGATTATACAACTTGGGTTCTCCAAAATTAAGCTATTCTATAACTTCTTCAGCAGGCATTTGTGTTTTTCAGCAGCTGGTAGTAGAAAGTAGAGGTTTTGAGCCTGCTCCAGGCATCTAAACTATTGCCCCCACTATTCGTTTGGATAGTAAATCATCGCACTTCTTTCTGCTACTTAATCAAAAGTGTAGGAGTAGATTTACTTACTATATGTCTGTTATGGTTTAAATCTCAAGTGTGATCCAAGTCTTACGTGCTAAAGATTTGATCTCTGATACAGCAATGTTCAGAGATAGAGCCTCTGAAAAGTAATTGGATCATGGGGTCTTTGACCTCATGAATGAATTAATCCACTAATGGATTCAGAGCTTAATGGGCTATGGTGAAGTGTTGGAAACTATAGGAGGTAGTTCCTAGATGGAAGAATTAGGTCATTGGGGATGTGCCCTGGGCAAGGACATTTTGTTCTCAAGCCCTCCCCGTCTCTCTGCTTTGTAACTTCTATGAGACAAACATCTTGTTCCATCATGTGCTGACCAACATGATAGTCTACTTCACCACAAACCCGAAATAGTAGAAACAATAAACTATGGACTAAAACTTCTGAAAACTTAAATCACAGTATTTTCTCCTTTGAAGCTGATTTTCTCGAATATCAAGTCACAGTCATGGCAGGCTGTCTGAGGCTGATCTTCCTAGAACAGACCTGAGATGAAAATATGAAATACTTCATATGAGAAGAGACTTGTGGAAGGAGTAGAAGAACAGGAAATTGAGACAACAAAGAAGGGATTCAGATAAGGCAGACTCCTCACGAGTTTATCAATGCTGCAATAGAAGTTCATCTATTTAAGGATTCCAGGGACATACAGACAGCATCACCAATTATGTCACCACAGGATTTAGGAAGCATTGTTCAGGGGCTGAGGACTTCTGTTAGGAACACAGAGCCTCAGGCATGCCAGGGAAGCAATATACCACTGAACCATGTCTTGACCTGTAATAAGGAACTCTTGAATGGTGTGATAGCAGACATGCGCAGTCACAGGTGATTGTAATAGAATACTATGGGCATGTATAGTAATGCTGAGGATCAAGAGCAAATCAGAGGGAGTTGATGACAGTTTAAAGTGGTAACTCAAGGGTCTTTGCTAGGTCAACTGTCTTCTTTGTTTCTGACTTTCTTGGACCAAAACAAAGTCATACAAACCCAATTTAGTTCCCTCCAATTGTCTTCACTGTGGTCTACAAGAAACTGACCTCTGATTTTTAGAGAGGACTTTTCCATCTGTCCCTTATTGTGTGCTCTTCCTCATATCCCACTGCCCTAATTTTATGCTAAGGATGAAGTCTCAATCTTTGAAGAGATGCTCAGGGTATATCATACAAATCACTATTAGGGAAAATATTGCCATATAACCACAGGACTGGGTTCTGTCCATAACCTTGAGAAGGCAGTTTAAAAGCTATTAGAGATGACTTTGCAGATAAACACACTTGCCACCAAGCATAGTATCCTGAGTTAGATTCCTTCTATACACATGGTAGAAAGGGAAAACAGATTCCAACAAGTTATCCTCTGACCTCCTTGTGAACAGACAAGTCTGAGTCTCTCTTCTCATCTGGTAAACAGCTAAATGTAATTTTAATAGAAGTTTAAAAAAACTATCTTGCAGAGAATGTTTGCCAATATCTGTGTTGGCTAGTCCTACAATAATGATGAGAACAATGCCTTGCATTTTGAATATTTTCATAATTTTCAGTCTACTTGTATTTTCTAAAATTATTCTACCAATCTCCTGGGTGAGAGACTTTATTAGATATTAACAAAAAGAAAACAAAGTACCTATGAGGATAACTGAGGCCCAGAGGTAGTACAGAACAGTTTAATCAGAATGCGAGCTTCCAAATCAGTTGGCCTAAGTCCAAGCCTTGGCTCCTTTGCGTAGTAGTTGTGGGTCTTGAGACAGCCTGCTGCTGGGCCTCAACAAGGCTTTCATCCAATGCATAGTAAAAATTGACTAAGTACCAGCCCGTTTGATTGTCTTGTGGTTCTTTGTGGAAATGCTTGTGGAGAAAGAGATAGGCCTGTGGGGTGTGCTCACTGCAGTCTGTTATTTGCTTTAACCAACTCTGTCAAATTTGTCTGGACATGGAATTCTTCCCTGGATTTCAACACGCCAGGTACACTCCTACAGATGACCCCCAATCATGCATGTTTGTGCCAAACTTTATCTCAATTCTTCCAAATGTCTATTCAGTCTTAGGGCATGACCTGGGAAGGCAGGAGTTTTTCCAGGCTTACAACTAAAATGTAATGATTGCAGAAATGGAAATAAAAAACATTACCGGATTCATATAGCTGGATAAGACTTCTGTGGGCCTAAGAGAACAAGCAACATGTACCCAGGACAAAACTATCTCAACCAGAATAAATTTGCCTTTTTATGCTGAGAGGAAGCTGAAATGAAGCTTTCAGGGTCTCAGTGTCACTGGCATCATCTTTATATTCTTAAATGAAAAGAGAGAAAGGATTTGCCTTATTACAGGAGAAAGAGCCAAATGTGTTTGCTTTCAAGTGCAGAATGAAATGAACTGCACATTCTCAGTGCGGAGCTTCGTTTTGATTACTGTCTGAAGAAGGAGAGCAGGAAGCAGCCGCCCATCCCCACCCAAGCTCCCCTCCACTTTTTTTTTATTTGTTATTGAAGCAAATGAGGCCAATTGTTGGAAACTTCTGTGCAGCCGTGAATGCCTCAATTGTGGCTCTCCCAGAGATTAATGCATTTAATTTACCTCTTTGGTATATTTGAGACGCTATTCAGCAGCCAGTCAGGAACTCCTAGCCCTGGAAACATCTCTGTAGTGAGATACTCTCCTGTGTCTACCTAACCTGCTTTAGGTAGCTTTAAAGAAGCCCAAGACACAGGAGAGAGGGCCCTGTGATTTCATATTCCCTCCCCATTTTCGGGTGGTAGAGGGGAAGAAAGGGTGGTGAAGAAGACAAGAACGGCAGGAAATACAGAGAACAGCACAAAGGACCTGATTTGCCATCTTTCAGGCACTGGCACTACCTTCTATCGTAATACCAGTTACGAAGTTAATTTCATTTAATGTTCACAGACTCTTGGATAAGTTCAGGGAACAAAGTATGCTTTCTTACAGATCAAACATATTAAAACTTTTTGATGTTAAATATTAATTTGGCCTCAAGCAGAACAAACAGGGGACAGCACTGCTCCCCCACCCCAAGCCCCTTAATTTTCAAGTGTTTAACAAATCCGCAACCATAATACTAGACAGACGGTTCAGGAGTGTCAACACATGGGGTCCCTGCCTTAATGGTTCTCCTACCCTGTCATACTGAAGTGACCATACAAAAAATTCTCCTAAGTTATAGTTCTTATAAATGTCAGAAAATAATTACAGAAGAGATAGCATCTCCACTGAAACATTAACTTGCTCTTTGGAGGCTGAGCAAGTGTTAAGAGGAAAGGACACTGAGTGTATAAGAAAAAAGCGACCCAGGCCTCAAGGCCCCCGACTGAAACTCACAGCATGTTGAGGGTGGCTTGTTGTATTACATTTGTAGACTTAGAGCCACACCATGATGTCCAAGAGACAGAGGCTCTGCCTCCTTCATACTTTAATCTGTCTTCAGCATATCACAATCTCCAGAGTACAGTGGGATGCAGAGGTTCTTTGTTTGTTCAGCATTTCCTGGATACATGCTCTCAGCACGAAGCCATGTATGGCTCCGCACACTCTCCAATAGAGGAACGTTATTGTTGCTCTTCACCACACCCTTTCAGCTCAACTAGGAGTATTTTCAGAAGAAAAGCAATCCAAAGGATTTAGCCTTACAACTTGAAAAATGGCGCTTTGGCGCAAGGCTTCCTCAGACAGCTTTAAATAGGGTCAAAAGAGAAGTAAAGCACCTACAAAGTTTCTCCTCATATGCAGATTATCCTTTGGTGCTCAGGAAATATTGGGGAAAGGCTACCTCAGTAGGTAAAGTTCATCAGGAATACAATAGGTTTTACCTGCAGGAGATGAATAAATACAGGTCACAGCAAAGGCTCAAGTCCATTTATTTCTCACATGTGTTATGCTATGGGCAGGATTTCTTCAAAGACCAGGAACTATCACAGCCTTATAAATTCAAATCATGGAGTCTAGCCTAGTAACATAGGTCATTAATCTTAGGCACTCAGAAGGCGGAGAGTCTGAAGTTCTAGGTCAAACTGGGTTTTAGAGTGACTTCAAGACCAGCCTGGGCAACTTCCAGAGATGCTGTCTCAAAACACAAAGTAAGCTATAGGCTAAGGATATAACTCCATAGAACAACACTTGTCTAGCATGTTTGAATTCATGGGTTCAATATTCAGTGAAGAAAAAAATAAAAATGAAAATAATGAAGAAATTCAAACTCTGGAATAACTGGGGTGACCAGACAGCTCAGCTAGTAAGAGTACTTGGAGTAAACCCTTATGACTTGCTTTCAGTCACTGGGAACCACATCGTGGAAAGAGACTCCTGAATTTGCCCCCAACCTGCATAGGTGAACCATGGCACACTCATGTGTGTGTATGTGTGTGTGTGTGTGTGTGTGTGTGTGTGTGTGTATGAGAGAGAACACATGAGCATTTTCGTACATGCATGCACGCACATATTTAGATAAATAGATAGCAAGTAGAATGCATGTTTTTTGTTTGTTTGTTTTATTTTGTTTTTCAAGACAATCATCTGTTTCTTTACATCTGTTACACAAAGGTTTCTTTGTGTAGCCTTGGCTGTCCTGGACTCACTTTGTAGACCAGGCTGGCCTCTAACTCACAGAGATCTGCCTGCCTCTGCCTCCCCAAGTGCTGGGAATACAGGTGTGCATGACTGTGCCCAGCTCAGAATGTATGTTTCAAAACCAACCTGAATAGCACTTGTATGTGGTTTTGTATTTTGTTTAACTGTAGACAAAGAATTACATCTATGGACAACAAATAAATTCTTCTGTTGCAACCCAGAACTCACCGTTCAATACAAATTTTGTACATTTAGTAAAGAACATATTTTAAACCTAAGGAAGCCGGGAGGGTATTAATAACCATTAAAATTGGCTCAAAGTATAAAAAGTTAATAATTTAAACAAAAGTTCAAGTATAAAATGAGACTCGCATCCCTATACGACACTAGGAGTTCATGGTTCCTTTTGTGGGGGGGGGGCGGGGAATTATTCCTGTTTCAGTATGGGACTACCATCATCATGGTACCCTTTTCCAAACTTCTGTAAAAATGAATGGGGTGCTTTAAACACATCTGAAATGGGTTTTTATTGATTTGTGAGGGGCTATAAGGCCTCCCTCAAAGTCCTTAGGTGACCTGACTGTGTAAACTGGAGGAAATTGTGTGTTACCCATGGCTGCATGGGTTTTGCGACCAAGTAGCTATTGTCAGGGCTTCTGTCCCTCCCTGCCACCCTGTCTCCCGACTGAGGAGACCATAGCTCTACAAGGAGAAGCTGTCTTGCGGAGTGATGCGGGAGCCTCCAAAGACTTCATCATTCACTTGAGACGTTGGCACAGAGTCAAGTTAGTTCTTATGTGACATTAAAAAGCTCCCTTCACTGAGGAAAACAAACAGATAAAGAACACCCGCTAATGACTTCAGAAGGCCAGAGAGCAGCTGAAGTATTGTTTTTTTAAATGCAATAGATTTTAAACGGCATTTCCAATAATGAATAAGTCACCCAATTACTGCACTCATCTCATTTGGAACACCTGTCCCAGTGATTCGCAATCCCCAGAGTGACTTTTATTTTTAACAATATTTATTATCATGAGTGTTATCACATTAGATGAAATCAGCTGGAGACAGAGGCAGCCCCTGCTGCTGAGCTGATGGCATCTAGGCACTGTGGATAGAATGGGTTTGCCTTCCCCTTTGGGTACCACAGCTGCTCTGAGCTCCCATTTCTGTCAGTCCTCAGCAGACAAGGAAGATATCCCAGAACCACCCTACAGAGTGAGATCATCCTAGGGGGCCCCCATGGCTGTCACCTCAAAGAGAATTTCACAGAGCACCTGCCGGGGACATGTCTAGGAACAGCTTCACTTAGCTTTGGGAGGCCAGTGCTCTGGGGAATGAGACATTGTCATGGCCACACGGCTTTTCCTGTTTGCCCCAAGGAACTGCTAGAGAGACCATAAGAAGGCAAAGGGAGAATGACTCAGAAATGCCTTGCTACATCTCTGTTTTACTCTTCAGATGTGACCCAGAAATCAGGCAGAGGATATTTATACAGTTTCTCCAATGTCCCTGGCATTCAACTTGTCACTTGTCCTTATGAAGGATATAGTCTAGAAATCAAGCTTACGCCAAGCCGCCTGAGCCCACTCTATAAAACAGCACTCTTTCTATTATTGAGTCAGTGTGCACTGAAGGCCTACTGTGTGTTTTGTGTGCAAAGTGAGGTAGAAAGCCTGTAGTTAAAAGAGGTTCTGGTTTGAGTAGCCAGGGAGAAATAGCCTTATTGTGAATAGATGAGGATGACAATACTAGTAGTTTTTCATAAATGTTGAGCTTTTGGAACTATAGCTACCTTAAAACAAGAACATGTGAGAAGCACCTTGCCCAAGGTCAAAGAGAGAATGAGTGGTTAAACTGGATTTAGAAGCTGAGAAACTGGTTTCCTAGGTGCAAGGACTTGAACACTGTGCTGGATAGCTTCCTAGGAAGATGAGTGACAAGGATAAAATAGTTACCATCATTTGCAAGTTTCCGCTGTAGACCAGACAGTGTGCCAAGTGTTTAAAATGTATCATATAATTTAATGCTTAGAACTGCCCAGCCGGGAAGCCATGACTCTTAGGTGTATGAATTAAAAAGTATTAGTTAAAAAGCAGAATTTAATACATGTAAACCAGGACAGACCGTAAGGTTACAGTGGCTAGAGAGAGAGAGACTTTGTCACCATTGTTTGTCCTTGTTTTCTTTCTCTTTTTCTCTCCTTCCCTTCCTCCCTCCCTTCCTCTCTCATTCTTCCATCCTTCCCTCCCTACCTTCTTCTTTCTAACTGACACCTCCTTTTTTTATCTCTACTGTCCAGGTGGCTTCAGAAGTATCTATAATTTAAACCAAATATTTTCATAAGATTGAGTCAAAGATTTGAGTAGCCAGGGAGAAATAGACTTATTATGAATAGACGAGGATGGCAATACTAACAGCTTTTCCTAAATATTGAGCTTTTAGAACTATAGCTACCTTATAACAAGAACAGATCTGGAAGATCAGGCCTATATCTCAAGGCCTTCCCTGCCCTGAGACTAAACACTGTGGACATCTTAGAAGGTTTTAAATTGGCAGTCTCTTTCACAAGTACCACACAGTGGACCCAACAATATGAAGAAGGAGGAACTTAACAGCTAGTCTGATGTGATGATACAAAACTAGATCTGAAGTTACCCTTTTAGTGGATTTTAGAAACTGGGAGAGATAGATAGATAGATAGATAGATAGATAGATAGATAGATAGATAGAAGCATCCTATTTAAATTGCTTTAAAAATATCTCTAGCACATTATAGAACTGGCCAAGATGAGGAAGCAACAGACCTTTAGAAATATAGGAGCATCTCCATGTGATGAGCAATCCAGAAATCCTCAAGGAGGAGATTACATTCACCTGGCTATTGGAGGAAGGACAGGGTCTGCACAAGTAGTGAAGGAATGATCCATAGAAGGCTAACAGGAGGCAGAGGAATGGTAGGTCAACATGACTTGGCCTGCGGAGGAATGGCAGTATCAATGTAATGGTATGATTTTTGCCTGGCTCAGAATAAACTGGCTGAAAGCTTATCTCTGCAGAGGCATGTTGGATAATGTCTTGGGGCCCATCCTATAATGCTGTACCTTGTCTAGCACCAAGAGATACTGCAGAGTAATCTCTGTAGAGCTCAGGCTTGTATGTGGACTGTTAGAAATTTCTCAGAGGAGCAGCACAAGAACAGACCTTCCTCATTATACAGAGGAGTAAGAGGGATTTATGTTTCCATCAAGATCTCAGCCCATGCTCCCTTCAGAGGTCAAGGCCTTCTTAACCTGGAAATGGAAGAAAGACTGGCTGCCTAGATGACCTCTACCCAGTGGGGCCTGTGACCAAGCCACAGGCCTGTAGTTCAGGCACAGATCAGCTGGGGAATGTGGAACCCCCATGAAGCACCATGGAAACCATTTTCTTTTTTGAAGCCTGTGGTCAAATACATTTGAAATCCATCTTAGGCCTGACACTAATTACTTTCTCTAAGGACCTTTGTGTCAATCTCCATCAGCTCTCTCCTCCCTTTTGTCCTGGACACTAGCTGTCTTCACTGACTATTGCTCTGTGCTCTATTTGTCATCTCCCTCTCCCTTATTCTTTCCTTCTGGTTGCACCTCCAATGTGGTCTTCCTGGCATTGGTTCCTTCTGATTGAGAGCCAGTTCTCTCCTGCTGTCATCTCTAGTTTCCAGCTCTTTTTGCCAAGTGGGCTGGACAGCTAGAAATGTGCCCATCCATTTCCTGTGAATTTAACTCTAAGGACAAAATCACTACATTCTCTCAACAGGAAGTTCCCAGGTTCTCCTGGTCACTTTGACCCCTCCATCCTAGGCAGGTACCTTTATAAGCTTCCAGATTTACATTGCTTGGAGAGAGCACTTTACTTACTAAAGCCCCAGCTCATGGACTGTGAGTCTGCCTGTTTGTCTTCATGAACTTGACCATGTGTGTGAATGCTTGGGTGCGCCTATGTAAGTATGTGTACTTACATGCAAGCTCACACCTACATATGTTCACCAGTTGCAAATGTCTGTGTACTTGTGCATGTGCTCAATAGGGTTAAGGACTCTGATTTTAAAAGAAAGTACCTTGGCATTGAAAAGATGGCAGAAACTGGATGATCTCTCTTGCTTTGCTCTTCCTTCTGCCTTTTGGCTAGGAGCAGCCCTCACATGCAAGGTGCCTTTCTTTTTCTGAAGTAAAGGGATGGCTTCCTTTTAGAAGACAGCATGGAGGAATCTGAACAAACAGGGCTGGCTTGGTCCCCTACAAGGTCACTGTCATAAGATCATTCCCGTTTGTTTAAGAACACATCCCCATTCTTCATCAGTCCTCAGTAACATAAACATACACAGGTTTCTCTGCTTCTGTGGGTCTCAGTTCTCGAAGCTCTTGTACATAAAACTTACACTGAACACATTTATATGATTTTCTCCCACCAGTCTATCTCTTGTTGTAGAATCCCATATGGAAAAATACATTTCCTTTTCCTGATGGTATATGTAAATTTTTGAGTCGTGTGTGTGTGTGTGTGTGTGTGTGTGTGTGTGTGTGTGTGTGTGTGAATTTATGTAGGGTTACATCTTGATAAACTCGTCACGAATAGAAACTATTTTAAGCAGAAAATTTATTTACTACACTTACCCTACCAAGCATAACAGCTCAGCCTAGCTACCTCAAATGTGCTCAGAACTTTTACATTAGTCTGCAGTTACCATAAAACGTTGACTGTCTCATACCACTTATTGAACACTGTACTGAAAGTGAAAAATGGAATGATTGGAAAGCTATGTTTTCATGATGCTTAAACAGTCAAACTACTGTTAACTTGAATCTCCTAAGTTGGAGGCTGTTTGTATATGTATTCCCTTTCAGATATGAGGTCAGTGAACAGAAAGGTTGGATAAGATTAAGATTAAGAACCTCAGTCTTGATATTTGATATTCTTTCAGGTACTCGATTTGACTAGGGATAAAGCATATAATGTTGAAATAATTCTCATCTGGATTATAAGAATAATACACAGTTTAGAAGATTTTGGAAAGAATTTATGGGATGAAATAAGAATATAGTCTAAATGTCATCTTGAATTGTAAAAAGCAAAAAGTAAGAATAGACCTTTCACACAGAATACAACAAACGTGAAATTAAAGACTAAAGAGATAAAGAGAAATATAGTCAGTGTAGGCAGAAGACTAAGAAAAGCCTTCAAGCAAGCTCCGTCCCTTTCCCCTTTCTTGTGCTGCTAAGGATAT